AGTCGAATAGGGAAATAGGAAAAAGTTTATGAGTGCATGAAGAGACAGTGATATATCTGATGCCTGTTTTGTATCGAAGAACAAAAGAATTTCAGCAGATATTACAAATAGTCTGTTAATTTAATCAATGGATAAAGATCTTTCTACAGCAAAAAGCTACTTTGCTATGTCATGATATTTTACCTTTTTTTTCTTTTGTAATCTTGCTTAAATGGGAATAATATCTTTGAGACTTTGGTGCAAAATACAAAATGTTAAACAAAGCTCACCGGTCTCAGATTTAAGCAAGCGTCAATTCAATTTCCTTTTTACTTTTTTTTTTTTCTCCATGGATTTTTGTATTTGTGAAACAAGTACAACTTTCGTTTTTAGTGGAAAGATACAATATAAAAGAAAAATGTATTTAGTCAGAATGTCACCTTCGTAAACAGATGTAGGGATAAATGCTTAATAATGTTGACTGCAGTTTCCTCTTAAGCTATTATATCCCTGTGACTGATGCCTGTCCCCTTGGCCTGTATGTACCCCTCCTCCTGGCGTTCGCATTTAACGTGTGGATCATATTGCAAACTACTGTTGTATTTATCATTAATTAATGATTTCCGTTGCCCGTAAATTATTACCTGTCTGTCCTTTATAAACTACAGTTGTCTGAGAATGATAAATGTTTTGTAAGTGAATCATCACTGAGACAGAGGTTGAAGTATTTCTATTTTTTTCCTGTATTGCTATTAATGTTCTTTTTTTATTGTTAATGTTATTGACTTAGATGTATATTTCCGCGAAGGGGAATTAAGCCAAAGAAAATACAATTACTTGTGCCAGATTGAGTTTTAGAAAATCACAGAATATGAGGAATTATGCATTTGAAAATTCTTACCTTTTTGGTAATGAATTATTATAGTATTCTGTGCAAATAAATGTGTATTTTTGTAAAAGTTATTCACTCTATTATTCCATGCCTAAGACGAAGCTTCAAGAGGAGAGTATTTCAGTTAATGTAATTTGCTTTGAAATAAGTTATAAATATGGTATTGCAGATTTTTATTACAATCTGTTATTACAAAAAAGTAACACAAATATTATCATATACATGTACATGTATGAGTAAATACGTATTTATTTGTATACATATTCATCCTTTTTTTCTTTGTGTGTGTGTATGTGTGTATCTACTTGCCTCAGATATTGTAAATCTGCGTGGATGTAGATATTCGATTTTAGGATACGTGATTCGATTTACAGCTCGCACTTCTGACAAGGTGGATTTTTCCTTCCGGTTACACGGTGCTCTCGATTCAGGGCCAATTCATGCTGTTCCTCCTGGTATTTCACAGAGGAGGATAGTCCATCAGCGTCCCAGCAAACCCATTATGTCATCCCTTTAAAATACATTCATTCGTTGCAGATCAGTATTCATTTGCTCACATATGTTCCACGTCTTGAATGGAAACTTCCTTGGGATTTCCATGTCACCCTGAATCAGCTGGCTAGCGTAAGGTTCGTGAAAGTATTTAGCGAACTCCAGAAGCCCATTATAGTTGGAAATTTCGTTCTCCAGTAAAATCCTAATGTGATAATGGACGTCATTCAGCTGAACAAATGCCACGGATCTGACCTGGAGAGATAATTCAGCATCTTTGTAAGGTTCTGGGGGCCAAGATTCTGGACGCGTCTCCAGGACAGACTGGAAATCTCATCCAGCAATCTCTTGGGAAGTTCCTCTGTAAAGTGCTCTCTGAATCTGTTCTTATATTTATTGGATTACATGATAAGCCAGGGGGATAAGCTGTAAAAAATAGTGGGACATTTTACTAGACGTCATGAATTAGACACCAAGATATGACAAGTATATAATTTTCCCTCAAGGTCACACACACACACACACACACACACACACACACACACACACACACACACACACACACACACACACACACACACACACACATACACACACACACACACACACACACGCATACACACACACACACATGCACACACACACACACACACACAAACACACACACACACACACATATACAAACAAACAAACACACACGTACAAACACACACACACACACACACACACACACACACACGCACACACACACACACACAAACATGCTGCACATTGTCAACGTGAACAACGCATTTTATGCTTACTTATGCTTACAGTGCCCTTGCTTCTCCCAACCTGAGGCTGATAAATGCCAGGGATCAAATTGATCAATCTCTAGACTAAAGTTGTTTCAAAGGTAATTTTGAATTAATCTTTTTCCTATGCATTGGTCAGTTCACGATTTAGTATCACAGGAATTGCATCACTTGAATATCTACACAAATACTGAATAAACACTTAGTATGCACACAGATATTCAGCCTCCCTTAACATTCTAAATTCCCCTCAAAGAAGAACAGCTCTTGTCTCTTATCTCCGTCGCTATGAGATATCCTCGCTCAAGCTCGGCAAACTGGTTGTGTGTGTGTGTAGGTGTGTGTGTGTGTGTGTGTGTGTGTGTGTGTGTGTGTGTGTGTGTGTGTGTGTGTGTGTGTGTGTGTGTGTGTGTGTGTATATATTGCTGGCTGCGAGATGTCTGTCGTCCCCCATGGTTCAGGAGCTGATCCCAGCAGCGAGAACAGCCTCCTCCTCCGGGACTTTGCTAGGTCCCAGAGATTGAGGATTTCTGGCTCCTGGTATCAGCGCTCCAACTCGTATCGCTGGAAATGGTATAGCGATACGGATACTGTGGCTAAGGAGATCGATCGCTTTCTTGTCAGCACTCGATGGAGGATCCTTCAAAATTGCAGGGTTTACTGGAGTGCCGAGCTCTGTGGCGCTGACCTTAGGCTGGTAGTGGCTTCCCTGCAGGTCCACTTCAAAACTCCTCGTCCATCCAATGGCTACTCTAGGGTGTTTCACTTGGACAGACTGAGTGAGGAGTGTGCCCGTGGGTTCACCACGACAGTCTCTGATCGATTCACAGAACTTGAAAACCTGACGGACCAAATTGCTCTGTGGGAGTCCTTCAAGCGAGTCCATTGGCGTACACCCGAGACCAAGGCAGAATTCCACCTCCCTAGAGACAATGGAGGCCACTGAAGCGTGCTGCATGGCTCGGCTGAACGGCAATCAGGACTTGGACAGGCTCGGACACTGCTGAGAAGGGACAAGGGACAGTTCATCAGGAATCTTGCTGTGGAGGCTGAAGGCCATTTCTTGGTTAATGACCTTCGCCCTGCATACCACACCCTGAGAAAACTGAACTCTAAGCCCTTCTCACTTAGATCATTTTGGGGTTTGTGAACATTGGGCCGAGTATTTTGAGCAGCTGTACCAGGTAGACCCTAAAATAGTAAGGTTGGATGCAAGTGGTATAGGAATACCTGTGCCAGACCCACCCATCACTGAGGAAACTTCGACCCTAACTGGGGTAGGATAGCGATCTCTATGCTGAAGAGTGGGCAAGCCGCAGGTATTTGTGATATCCCTGCTGAACTGCTAAAGGCTGGAGGTGAACCTATGGCGCGGAACTTGCATGCAGTCTTGACTGCCATCTGGCAGTCTGGTTCCATTCCCCCTGACCTGTTGAGGGGCGTGCTCATCCCTCTTTGGAAGGGGAAAAGGGATCATTGAGACTGTAGCAACTATCTTGGCATTACACAGATCAGTTTGCCAGGAAAGTTTTTCGCCCACATTCTTCTGAAATGGATCCGCGACCACTTACTAAGGCACCAGAGACTGGGGCAGTCTGGATTCTCTCCTGGCAAATCCATAATGGACCGTATCCTAGCGCTTTGAGTAATTGTGGAACACCATCATGACATCGACCTTAAAAAAAACGTTTCACTGAGATTCTGAAACTGAGGGGAATTCTAACATGGATTATTAGCCTAATAGGAAGCCTATATACCTGGTTCTGAAAGTGCTGTAAAGTGTGGTGGGAGCCTGTCGAACTTCTTTCCTGTTAATTTAGGGGTGAGGCAAGGCTGTGTCCGTGCGTCAACACTTTTCAACACCTGCATAGACTGGATAATGGGCAGAGCAAATATCCAAAGTCACTAGGCAATATCAAGGTCTCAGACCTTGACTTTGCCGATAATATTACTATCCTCTCTGAGTCTCTAAAATCACTGGTGGCGGTTCTTGATGCATTTAGCAATGAGGCAAAGCCCTTGGGCCTAGAGGTCTCCTGGACCAAGATCAAGACCATACCTTGGTAGCACAGTCCACCCCCCCCCTCCACACACACACACCACATTTCCTCCTCTTTACCATTCTTATTCGTCTCCTTCACCTCTTTTTTGCTTTAGGCTCCCCAGACACGCCAAGTAAATTCCCTGTTTTGTCAAGAGATTGGATACGTATACAGGGACACGACAAATGGAAATGGAACATGCTACCAGATAATATAAGAGACCTTAACAGTTTCTGTAATTTTAAGACGAAATTAAACGAACGAACCTCTTAAATACTCAAACGTAAATATAAATTCATGTATGTAAAGAATAACCATTGTGATTTAATGGAATAAAGTGTTTTGATTTGACTTTGACTTTATTCGTTCTCCCACTTTTTCCCCTTCCGTATCTTCTCACTCTCTCCTTCTCTGTAATCTGCACTGCATATACTCCATTCAGTATATTTCGTCTCTTCTACCCATTTCCTTGTTCACCTCTTTCGTTCATCTTCATATTTCCTCGTTTTCCTTCTTCTTCTGATTTTATGTTCATTGCTTATTTTCTTCTGTGCTAATCTTCTCCTTGTTTTCTATTTTTCTTACTCCTTTCTTTCTTTTGTCTTGTTTCTCTGACCTTCCTTAGTCGTTTATTCCTTTCTTTCGTCTTTCCTCTTTCACTTTGAGATAATTGTTCTTTTCTCTCCTTTTCTTCTCGCATAATAATCCCTTCCTCGTTTCCCACATTTTTCTTATTTTTTTTTCTTTCGTATTCCCTTACTTTCATTTTTCTCCTTTCGTTCTTTTTCTTAAGCTTACGTCCTCATACCTACCTCTTAATCTCCACCCTAATATCCTACCTGTCCCCTCGACACCTTCGATACCTGGTCTCGAATCCTGATCCGGACCTGGGTGATCTAGCGGCCGGCGCTCAATCACCCCGGGGATGATTTCCAGAGATAATAACAAGTGTAACTATTTGGTTTTGTTTTCGTTTTTTTCTCTCTCATTTTTCGTCTCATGTTAGGTTTTCAGGTGATTATTTACGTTTGTTTCTCTTGCGCCTTTTTCTGATATTTTATTGTTTCAGGATTTTGCCCCTAGTGCTTCGGGCAGTTCGAACTCTTGAGTGGCGAATAAGCCAGGGGATAGGTCTTATTCTGCAAAAAAAATATCGCCCTTCATCCAGTATTTGAAGACTTTCTTTCTGAAGGGAGCCTAAATGTTTTTCATTTTTGGCTTGTTTATTTCTTTTACTTTACGGCTTCTACGGTTTTCAAAGATGAATTATTCTCATGATAACGAACCTTTTTATTGCCTTGTAAAATTACTTTGATGTTTATTTTGTAAGATATGATAGCTTATTTATTTTATACACTCGCTTTATGATAACTGAATATTTTTCCTTTTTATACTTACGGAATTAATCAACGGTATATTTCCTGCACTGATTATTATGTATTTTAATTGCTGTCTCCCGTTAGAATAAATGCCGCAATGATGTGGCCAGTCTGTTATTAACCGCCTGTATATAAGCCTGTACGGGAGTTGTTTCCTGACTCGGTGTTTGTCTCCTTCGGAGGGTGGTATCGCTGGATCAACAAGACAAGGTTCTGCAAGAACCGCTTTACATTCCAGTTTGGAGTTGCTGGACGTGTTTACTTAGTTTACTTAATGTCTGCAATCAGAGGTTTACTTCAATTGGCCAGCACCAACCAGAGATCTGTTCATTATTTTAACTGAACCCTTGGACTTTTAATAAAG